TCTCCCGTCTCCATTCCGACCACCACTGCCTTAATAATTCTCCTAGCTAGTCTTCCTACTTCCAGTTTTAATCTTCTCTGATTCAATGATTCATACTGAGTTCAGTGAGGGGTTCAGCTGTACTCATTTCACTTGCTCTACCTCAAACTTCTATTAATGTATGCCCCCTAAATGCTCTTTGCTCTCTTTCTTCTCTTCCTTCTCCTCTCTTTTCTGCCTTTTCCCCTCTCTTCTTCTTCTCCTTTATTACCTACATTATACTGCTGGCTCATATGAAGTTCACCAAAGTAAAGCATTTTACTTTATGCAACTAGAAGGCTGTATTTTTCTACAGCCAACATTTATGAATTTTCATTCCTTGTAGAAGAATTAATATCACTATTTATTATACACATTCATTTATTATATATGAATATATTTATCATATTTTATCTTGTTAAGATTCAGCACCGAGCTTCAGATATCAGATTATTCGAGCATTTATTCTAGCTCCTTCCCCAAATCCCACCATGTTGGTAGAAGTATTTTTCTGAAGGCATTAAATCAGAAGGATGAAGAGAACTTGAAAGTTTTGGAAGTTGGAAAACAAATGACTAGCAATAACTGACACGGCAGACCTAAAAGAAATGAGAAAAAGTGAGAAGCACCAAGATTTAGCTCACATAACCTCCAAAACACGGGGTACCAGTGGTTGTATTAGGTACCTATGCAAGTCAGCTAACAGAAGGGTGGAGAGATTGGCTGAAAGTTATACCCAAACATCCCCTCCCTCTCTGACCTGAAACAGCTTAGTGACTGACTCTTTATCATCCCAAAGATTAGCGGTTGATGCTTTAGAAAAGGTATAAGAAAGAGTCTCTGGATTGGGGAACACCAACAGAACCAAGGGATAAACTCAAAGTAGTTGCAGAAAACTTGGTGGGGGGAGGTGTAGGGGACTGAAGTTTTTTCTGGTAAAAATAGGTGGAGAATCATTTGACAATTTAAATTACTTGTATGTATAACCATGATTTAAGATTTTTTTTTTCCTCCAAGCTGTTATAACCTTCTTGCCTCGTTTCCTACCATTTAACACTTATGCTTTTACCTACTTTTGTGAACTGCCAATACAACGGTATTTGATCAATGACTTTATCTAGACCATAAACAAAAATTATGAATGAGGCAAGGCTGAGGCCAGACTTCTGGAGCATTCTACTAGAGATTAACTTTCTTTGCAATAACATGAAATTATTCATCAGTATTTTCCAATTCACTCAACTAATTACAAAAATCCACTTCATAACATCACGACCAAGTTCTCATTTCTCCATGTTATATATTTAAAAATATCATGAAGTATATTTTGAAATTATAATTAAATAAAATCAGATATTAATCCAGAAGGTTTATAAAGACTACTTATCCATTGGCCAATAAGGTTAAAAAGTGATAAAACCACTGATTTAATGAAATACTGTGATTCAATATACAAAATAGCACAAAATTAATAAATAAGTGATAATAAAAAAATCTCATGATTATTGAATTCTCCATCATCAAATCTGTAAGAAAACAGTTGTGAATTTTCAAGCTAAATGAGAAAAACCAAATTTGAAATTATTTTCCCTTAAAATAATCTCATTTGAATTTCTAAAAATATCCAGTCAAAATGAATGCATAAAATTTCCTTTCTTAATTTCAGATAATGGGAGAGGACAGCAGTTCTTTTCTATTTTAAAATTTAAATTCTATGCTTTGAGCTAGATTTGAATTACATGATGAAATTGTATTTTAATTCAGGGATGAATTAATTTACGTAGTTAAGTCTCCTTTTCCCCTAATTTTTAATCAGAATCAAGAGTGTGAATGAAAAAAGCATTACCTTTGGTTCAACCAAACTGTTGATATTCAAGCATAGAGAAATGATGAGAAATTTTTTTTTCCATAATTAAGTTCACAGAGTATCTTAGGTGAAAAACTATACAACAGAAATGACATCTCAACTTACCTCTACAATAAAGGCTTTCCTCTCAGATTCACTTTCTATTTGCTTAATTGCAACATCTTTTGCTCTCCACTTAGCTTTGCAAACTACTCCAAAGGCTCCTCTTCCAACAACCTGAGTTAAAAACAAACAAATCCCCAAGAAAACCCCTATGAGAATAAAAAACAAATAGATCCAGCCCAACATATAACACTGAAGCCAGTCTGAAAGACTTATTAAAGATTTTAGGGATCATCACAATCTGGATGTGCCACTGCGCAAGCGTGAAATTTCATTAAAGTGAGGATAAATGAAATGCACTTGTTTCTATCTTTGACAGTTTATGGTCTAGACACCTCTTCATTCTCAAGTAAAACCAAAACAACAAACAAAAGACTCTTAGAGACAGGAAACAAATCAAACAGGCAAGATGAATGAAAAGATAGAAAATAGTGTGAAAAAAATAAAAAACAGGAACATATAATCAATGTTTTAAGCTAGCATATTTATGAAATTAAAAATAGCTTTGAATAATTCAGTAGGGGTAGAAGATGAAGAAAAAAGGATATAAATATAGATGATAAAAGACTGCCCACTGTGAAGGACAGACAAGACCTGGTGCAATATATAAAATACAATAAATATATTTTGTTAAGAAAAAGAAACAAACTGGTGATACATGTTATAACATAAATGAACCTCGAAAATACTATGATAAGTGAAAGAAGCCAGATATGCAGGACCACATATTGTGTGATTCCACTTACACAGAATGTCCAGAAAGGGGAATTCTGAAGATAGAAAGTAGATTAACGGTTTGCCTGGGGCTAAGAGTGGAAACTGAGGTAAACTGTAAATGGGTAGGAGGAATCCTACCAAGGTGATAAAAATGTTTGAAAGTGATTTATGGTGATGACTGTACAACTCAGTAATTTGTACAAATCACTGTAACACTTCAAATATGTGAATTTTATGATATGCAAAATATTTCCCATTAAAGTTATTTTTAAAAATTATATAGCTTGGCCATGTATTATATTATTGTGGAAGTTAACTTATGGTGGGTGCCTCATGGGTTTATCACTCAGCTAGCCTACTTTTATAAATATTTGAAATTTGCTATAATATAAAAACAACAAAAGAATAGGTTTTGAGACTTGTTAGAACAAAATCTTTAGATTTTATTGTGAATGACCTTAGTTAAGTACCATCTACTGCAAAATTTTAACTTCCAATGGATTTAGGTACTTTCCTTTAAGCAAAAAATCTACCTCTCTATACCACTCTAGTTAATGATGTACTTCTTATGTAGGAGGCACTGAGCTAAGTGCTTTACATACATTAGCACATTTTACAGAACCCTAGGAGACAGGTACTAATGCTGTACTCATTCTACAGGTGAAGCACTTAAGTGTAAAGAAATAAACTAACTTGCCCAAGGCTATATAGATAGTAAATAGCAAGTTTAGTATGCCCCGCAGTCTAACTCCAGAACATTAGGGATTCTAATTTGTACACCTGTATCTGTATTATGTCTCAGAAAGTGGCAGTTATATTTTTCTTTGGAGAAGGAATCTTTAGACAAAATTACATGAACAAATTCCAGGGCACAAAACTCTTCTATAACAAAGCTAGCTGTAGCTAAGGTAATTATAGACATTTCTCATGTTGCTGAATGTGTAAAACTACCCAGATTGTTAAGATTTATTGTTTACCATTTGTCAGGTACTAGTCTATGTGTTTTCATGCATTAATATATATAATCTTCCTTAATTTTAAAAATAAGTAAACCAAGTCACAGGGTTGCAAGTTGCCCAAGATCACATGGTCCAGGATTTGAAGCCCAGAATAGGTAATGACCAATTCACTCTATTCAGCCTCTGTGTATCATTGGCCTAAAGAAACCTGGGCTGCCTTTAGGCAAAAGCAGGCCAACATCTCTGGTGACTTTCCATTTTCCCTTCCCTAGCCCAGGGTACTCAGGGTCCTCTGCTGTTTAGGCTCTTGCTCTCCTCCATATCTCTCATAAGAGAAAGAAATCAACATGGGTCATTTGCACTTGTCATCCAGTTGCTTTAACATAATTGGGCATTGGCTAAACCTGGCACTATTACAATACTGGAAGGAGCACGTCCAGGCTCTAGAACCCAACGAACTTGAGTTTGAATATATGTTCTTTCTACCTATTAGCTATTATTGCTGGGCAGGTTAACGTCCCTGAGCTTCCATTTTCTCAACAGTAAGAGGGTGATGCTTACATTTTCCTCAGCGAGTATCTACAGGGTTTTATAAGTCAAAACCAGGCATTTCCTTAAATACTACAAAAGAACAATAAGTGCTTAGAGTTGGGGATGAATCAGTGTAAGGAGATGCACTACTAATTTCTATCACAATTAACCATGGTGAATAGCAAACGGGTCCTAAAACAAATTTCAACTTTATGGCAACATTAGGGTAAGAAGATATAAATGGAGACTGGACTACTTACTGATATTACTAAGAAATAATGACTATGAAATAATTTACTATATTCTTCAACCATGGATTTATAAATACATCAAAGTAACTTGTACTTAGTAGGTCTCCTGTTTCATTTTCCCAGTCTTAGGAATGTTCACACAAGGACTCCAACATCATATTTGTGTATCAGGCACAAAAACTGTTTTAGGTTTGTATGGCTAATTATGATGCACAAGTGCCACCTAGTGCTGAGATGATGGCTGACTCTGAGCTTTCAACTTAAAACCATGGGAACAAAATATGGGCAAATAAAGACATGATAAACTTTCTTATGCTTAATAAAGCAATTTTTTGGAACACTGAAATATGAAACAGGCATATTCATGTAAGATGAGAACCCATAACCTTAAGAAGCCTCCGCATTATGGCCATTAGTTATTTTACACATACTGTGAAACAATAAATCTAAAAATAATAATTAAAAAAGTCCAAGATGCCCAGAATTGTATACATAAACTGAATTACATGGCAGGAAAAATAACTGCTTTGAATTCAAAGGAATGAGGTTAAAAGCACATAGTCAATGTTTAAAAAATTTAAACTGTATACCTAATGATTCTGATCACCAATTCCAATGTATGTATGTGAGGAGATTACTCCACACAATCAAGCAATTCTCAGATACCAACTGGGTGTCCTATGATTCAACTCAGTTCTGGTACTACCTACCTGGAGTTAGCATCAGATCTCATATGTTAAGGGCTCAATTCTACAAGAATGCCCCCCACCTCAACTTCAGCTGCCAGTCACAGGTCCACATTGTCACCTGTGCTTCTGACTAACTACCTGTAGTTCAGAGGTTCCAATGACCCCCTCCTTGGGTTCAATTAATTTGCTAGAGCAGAACTCAGACAAATATTTTACTTACTAGATTTCCAGTTTATTATAAAAGAATATAACTCAGGAACAGCCAGATGGAAAAGATGCATAGGCAAGGTATGCAGAAAGGGCACAAAGCTCCCATGTCCAATTTCTGCAACACTCTCCTTCAATCTCCATGTATTCACAAATCTGGAAGCTCTCTAAACCTTGTCCTTTGGGTGTTTATAGAGGCTTCATTACACAAGCATGGATTAAATCACTGTCTATTGATTCAGCCTTTATCCCGTCTACACTCCCTGGAAGTCAGGGAGGTGGAACTGAATCTTCTAATCAGATGATTGTTTCTCCAGGCAACCAGCCCCCATCTTCAGGAGTGGTCCAAAAGGAACCGCATCACCATAACAAAAGACACACGAAGACATCCTTATTGTTCTCATCACTTAGGAAATTCAGAGGGTTTGGGGTGCTGTGAACAAATAACCTTGGACAAAGACCAAATATATATGAAAAATATTCTGGTCATCTAAATGCCCAAGTAAATATTTCTTATAAACCGCCACAGTGTAGCATGAAAAAAAAAATTCTCACTTTTTCAAACGGCATAAATGAAGAGATATTAAGAGTAAAAAGAAAAAAGATATAAAGAATTGACCCCTGTACCTTCATAGGATGAAAGTGAGGTAGAGAAGAAATTCAAGACATGACAATAGTACTTAAACAATTTTTAAACACCAGCTGACTGTAAGAGTACATGATGGTGGCTAAAGAACCACCCCTTCTGCTTCTGGGACAGGCTTAGGGAGGGATTAGAGGGACGAAAGGACGTGTCCCCCCACTCCTCACTGAAATCTCCAGAAGGAGGCAGTCTCAAAGAATACGCTTTGCCAACAGGGAAGCTACAAAGGAATAAGGGTGGCAAGGAAGATATACAGAGGGAGACCTTTACTCAGGTTCTCTCGGCCCCAACAGGACATGGAAGTGATACAGAAAAATCCTGCCAAGAGAAAAGCACGGTAATTGAAAATTAAAGAGTCTCCTGATTGTAGGAAGGAGGTTGTTGTAGGGCACAGTGTTGGAACCTATATTAGAGGATGCGAGATGGCAGACATCTCAAATACAGGGAGAAGAATGCAGAGCTCAGCTGAGTCTGAGAGGATCAATAAAAGCCATACGGGAAGGCCTAGTTGGCAAGCAGGGAGAAATGGGGTAAGGTCTCAGGGAGAAATGGGGTAAGGTCTCATGCTTTTAAGAGGTAAAAATGAGGCTTATGCCAAGAGAACAATAAACCTCATCTGTTTACTCCTTAAACCAATATTTCTTGAATGTCTGCTACATCCAGAGATATAGCAGTTGGGATATCAGAGATATAGCAATAAATAAGACAAAATTCCTGATCTATATGGAACGTACTTTCAATTAAGGGGAGAGGAAATGAAGACAGTCAATAGCCAAAAAGAGAAATACGAAAAATATCAGATTGTAAAAAAATGCCAGGTAGAAAATAAAGAAATAGGATGATATCATAAAGAGACTAGTGGAAAGTTCAGTTGAGATAGTATAGGAAGGCTATCTGAGGTTACTAACTTGATATTTGAATGACACAAGGAACAAACGAAAGAAGAAATAACTGTTGTAAAGGCCCTAAGCAGGCTGGGGTGGGGCGGGGGCACACTTCATTCCCTATTCAATAATATTCAACTCCATCTATAGGCTAGTCGCGATCCTAGGTGCACAAGGTATAGAAGTGAATAAACAAACCCAACTCCTTGTTCTTAACTGCTTATATTCTCATAGAGGAAGACAAAGAGGAAACAAGATATATAAGAAAAAGATATATTTTAGAAAATGATAAATGTGCTAAGAAAAAAGCATAATTGTGTGTATGTGTGTGCATGTACACGTGCATTCACTCCCCCAACCCAATTTTAAACAGAGTAGTCCTGCAAGGCCTCCCTGAGAAAGATGACATTTTAGTGATGACCTAGAGAAATAGTGTTCAGTGTAGGTGATAGATAATGGGAGAAGTGAAGACTGAAGCATGATGAGGCTGGAAAGACAGGCAGAGTCTGGATCCTGAATGGCAATCTGCACCATAAAAAGGAGTTTGAATTTCAGTCTAAGTGCAATGGGAAGTCAATTGGAGAGATTCAAGGAGGAAAGATGTGATATGATTTTACACTAAAAAATCACTCTCACTCTTACGTGAAGAATTGACTGTAGAGAAGCTAGAGTATATAGAGACCAGGCAGGAGGGCTATTATAGCAGCCCAAACAAGAGGGAATAGCTGTGAGGACCAGGTTGATGATAGTAAAGAAAAACAGACAAATCTGATATGGTTTACACGTAGAGTCAAAAGACCGTGTTGACAGTCTGCACACAGGCAGAATGGATGGAGAGGGAAAAAGATGAATAAAGGATAACATCTAGATTAGGCAACAGTTTAATGAAGGATAAGAAAGAATGGAGCGAGCAGATTTTTTTTTTAATTAACAGGTCTGTTTTAGTCATACAAAGTTTAAGATGCCTATTAGATATCTAGGTGGAGATATCAAGAAAGTAGAAACATGAGTCAGAGAGAAGACAGGAAGGAGATAAAAACTTGGGAGAGTCATCAGCTTTTAAGTGGTATTTCAAGTCAATCAATTGGGTGAGATCACCAAAAAACAATATGTAAATACTGGAGTCCCAGAACTGAGCTTTGAAGTACTTCATTTTGAACACAACCAGGGGAGAAAGAACCAGTTCATAAGGTAGCACGCAAACCAGGAAAGTCACAAGGAGCCAAGAAAAGAGTTTCAAGTACAAAGCAGATATAAAACCAACAAAAGCATTATGCCAATGGCTCTTAAAGTGTGGTTTCTGGGTCAGAAGCATCAGCATCACCCGGAAATTTGTGAGAAATGTAAATTCTCAGGTTCCAACCCAGAGTTACCGAGTTTGAGGGTATGGCCCTCTGTTTTAATAAGCCCTTCAGGTGATTCTAATGTTAGAGAATGACTGTGTTAGATTATATTAAAAATATAATTAACTGTGAGATATGATACTTCGGTGGAAGCTATCACACACACCAGAAAGTTCTCCCCTGCTGTTGATATTATTTACGGAAGTTTTCCAGAAAATTGAGATGCAATCTTGGGCAGAAAGAAAGGAAAAGAATTCTTGTGAGCAATCCAAAGTTTCTCTTGACACACTGTAGATCAATCAGTAGAAACGGGTGGCACAGAAGGCAAATTGACACACACTGACAACTGAGGTAAACAGTGAAAAACTTAATATTCAAATTACAAAACACTGAAAGGAAGTCACTTTTTACTTACTATCAAATTTCTAATTCTAGTTCATAAATCAAAAATGCTTTTTGGATTGCATTTTTATCTGAATAAAATAAGTTTCTTGGCCACATTAACAATTATTTTGAATGACAGCTTTCTCCAAAGATCAATTTTCACCAAGAGTGTAAAAAAGGGCACACATCCAAATTACAAGTATCTCCTCCATCACACACATCCATCTAAAATGGTGAACCTAGAAATAAATATTTCAGATATTTTTCACAATCTCTCATCTGTAAAAATAGAAGAACAGAGGAATGTAAAGAGGACTTTGGTTTTAAAGGGAAAGTCGATTTAGAAATATTTCCTTCTAAAGTTATGTTTTCTAAATTAAAATGTTCTTAGGTTAATTTCCCTAAAATATACATCTTTCCCCCCATGATTTAGTTCTCTTGGTTTTAAGTTTAGAACTTTAATCTCATATAAAGCAGATTTAAATTTAATTTCTTAATAAAAGCATAATAAAAATATGAAACATGGTGTGTAGAATATATCCATGTAATTGGCATTGAAAGGCACAAAAATCAAAACCACAATTTGGTGTTTGTGTGTATAAAAAGTAACTCTTAAAAACTAATTTCCCTAAGATGGAATACTCTGTTTCTTCATCTAAGCAAGGTTATTAAAACAAAACAAAACAAAACCCTAAACTAAACTAAATGGAAAAGGATGTATGCCTTTACGCTTTTAATTTCCTATGAAATAATTCTTCTTAATTGTCCTCAATTCATGTTATTTTTAGTTCAATGACTATAGCTCTCAGTTTGGTTTGGCCCTGTTCTGTGGACTATGTGAATGGACTCTGGCTACACTGCCATTGCTTTGGCTAGAAATTTGGAACATGACAGAACAAGCATAGATCATACATTTATTAGTTAGAACTTGGAGCCTCCAACTATTTCAGAACTTCGATATCTATTAATATGCTGTGGCAGAGTGGAACTGCCATATGCTGACAAGACAGCCCTGATAACACAAAAGTAAAGCTTTGATTATTCGAACTTTCTTTTGAATTTTTCATGCAGTCTTTTAAATCCTGCCATAAGACATCTGACCCATTTAATAGGCTTTTCTTTCAAATATGTTTGCATCTCTTAAGCTACACGTGCACAATATGAAAGTTATTGCTGTGGCTACCCTTTCACTGTGATAAAAAAATTCTGATCTACTGAAACTAGTGATCACTAAATTTCACATAGAAGAGTTTATTAATAATTCTGGATATTCATATTAAATACTAATAAATTTATAGACTCAGTTTAATTCAGGCAATTATAAATTAGGTTTTTCTCTATTATCAGCTGCGCATACACTTATAACCTAAAACTACAAAATATACATCACTGCCAAAGTTCTTTCTCTATTTCTCTCTAAAACAAAGCCTTTGTGTGTCTCTATAATAAGACTTAAGAACAAAGATATACTGCAATGATTATATGTGCATTGTTCACATGCTATCCTTGAGGTCAACACTGTGAGTCTCCCTTTTAAAAAGCAACCAAGACAAATAAGGTCTTTTTTGTATCTTAGTAAAGGACCACAATACCTGGTTTACACACAGCACCTGACCCTTTACAGCAGGGGTCCCCAACCCCTGGGCCGTGGACTGGTACTGCTCCTTGGCCTGTTAGGAACTGGGCTGCACAGCAGGAGGTGAGTGGCAGGTGAGAGAACCAAGCTTCATTCCCAGGGCTAACATCACCACCTCAGCTCCACCTCAGATCATCAGGCATAAGATTCTCACAGGTTCCTGGTGCCAAAAAGGTTGGGGACTGCTGCTTTACAGCTTCTTTTAAACCTGCTAAACAAAGGTATTTACTAGGTATACTGGAGTGTTACAGAATCAACATCTGGAAAGAGAATCAGATTTCACTTCTAGTATAAATGCGGCCTTAGCCAAATCACTAATTGAGCTTAACCTCTGGTTTTATCACATGTGATATTATAGAACCAGAAGGGCAATATATTCTCTTGATTATGCTGTGATAACTTCATTTACTCATTCAACAAATATTCACAATCTTCTAGGTGGTAGGCATTGGAGTTACAAGAGTAAATAAGGAACCTTTCATTTTGCTGGGGGACACACAATTTTGGTTACTGGTAAGTACTATGAAGAATAATAGAAGTGATACCTTAACTATATGCATCTACTAAATGACTGCATATTTGGCTTGTAGTTGGAGTATTTTTTTTACATAGTTTCTCAATGAATTGATATAATACCAATACAATTACACTGTTATTTCATAAATATAGAATATGATTTTCTATATTTATAGGTAATATCCTTGTAACATATAAAATATTAAAAACAATATAAATACTTTTTGTTTCTGGTCACCTTTCTTTGTTCTCTTGTTCATGATTTTAAACAAGAAGCAGAATCTAAGTTGAGCAATAGAGTGCCCGTGGGCACTCTGGATCATATAACACTGTTTTAATACATGCAAGGGAAGAATATGATGGAAATCATGTAATGGCTTCAAAATGAGAAAGGTCCAAATTGAATCTTTAAAATGTAAACAAACTGGGTGTTAAAAAACAATGAAATCCACAAAACTAAATGACTGCCTAACATTAGAAATTTTCATTTAAAAACAAAAATCTAATTCTCAGGAATGTCCTAAATATACCAAAGAAAGGTTGAAATATTATTTAAACTGAAGAAGGGTCTTTGGAAACATAAAAACCTAATTAGGAGCTAAATGGCTTTGGGGGAAGAGCTGAAAAATGATAAATGTCTCCTTCGTAACTTTCATTCTTTCAAGAATGTAAAATGCTTTAGAAAGCAGTGTGCAAAAACTAAGGTTGTTAGGATCAAATGATGTAAGTCAGTGAAAGCCATCTGGTAGACCAAGAAGTACAAGTTATTATTATAAAACAATCTGTAGTCTACAAGTATGACAGTTTGCCAGAGTAGACGTAAATGCTTATTTAAAAACTGCAATTCTTTTATACTGACTCACTGAATTTTTATTCTTAAAAAAGAAAGAATGTTAGCCATGAAAGCTGGATCAACTATCCCCCTCTGAAAAAGGAATTTATCATAGCCTCAATAGAAAAAACAAAAACACATAGACAAAGAAAAATTCCCCCCTCTTTTCAAAATACAGGTCCTTCTTTTAGCCATGTGACCTTAAAGCAGGTCACTGCTCCTCTCTGGAACTCAAGTTTCCTAGTAATGTGTCAGGCACTGTGTTGGGTGTTTTGCATATACTGCCTAATAGGATCTGTTATACACACAAAATGAAATAAAAATTACCCCTACTTTACAGTTAAGGAAACTAAAGCTCAAAGGGGTTAGAAAATTTACTTCAAATTACACAACTATTAAGTGGCACAGCTGATAAACCCGGCCATTCGTCTATCTCCAAAGGCCTTGCGCTCCCACTAACGTTATTTTGTAAAATAAGGTTGTTCCCAATGATCTGTAAGGTTACTTTATGAGATATAACAAAAAGATTAAGTAATCAATTAGTCTTCCAAAACATGCATAGAAAAATACTTATTTGTTAAATGATAATTATCTCATTACCTTTGGCTTGCCACTACCTAAAAATATTTTGGATTTTTAAAGTAGAGATAACCGAGAGTCTGTAATATAGGACGTACAGGGTTCTTCGTGGCATAAGGCAAAGTACTTAATAAATTCTAAAATTGATAAGTAAATGGCAACTGATAGGTACTATTTTCAATCTAAGTTTTAACACTTTCCGAAGTGTATCTTTAAAAAATATATATATACACAGTTCTTACTTTTCTAAATGTTATGGTCCTTAGAACCAATATACTCTGTAAATTTGAAAAGAATCAATGTACTAAAAGCACATTATTACCTTCCTTATAATAAATTACTACAGAATAAAGAATAGATTCAGATTTTCTAACAGCGATTTCTAGTCTGGTGTTACATTCTAGTTGTCACCGAAATCATTAGTTATCTCTTCAGAATGCTATTTTTCATCGTAGATCAGTCTATATTACTACTGCTGAAATTCATCTAAATTAGTCCAACCGAAGGCAGAACATTTAACAATACGATTACTGCTCTATGGAATCGGCGAAACAAACTATTCGATTCTTCGGGAAACACTTTGTTAGACACGAAGCTGTTAATTTATCAAGCATTTACTGAGTACTACGTGCCAGGCAGAGCCAAATGTGGAACATAATAGTACAATCCTTGGCCCTTAAGAACACCACGTCTTAGTGAACTGAAACTCCAAAACGGACACGGTCTTGGATGAATTTACTTACAAATAAGAGAACTGGGGACCACAATGTCTCACCAGTTAATCCTCTTGTTTGAGATGACCCAAATCCAGACACCAGAGTATCAAATCCAAACTCAAGAGTGCCGAAATGAGAAAAAAAAGAGAGCTACCCCAGCAGCTGAACGCGAAGAGTCCCTACTACACTCCGTCTCTGTGAGGCTCCTTGGTTAACCCTGCGGGGCTCCACAAATCAAGGGACTGCAGAGGCGCCTTAAGAATCGGAACCAGGCACAGGCGGGACCGGCAGGGGCCGGCGCCTGAGTGCCGGGCCTCGCTCACCTCTTCCACTTCGATCTCCTTGTAGTCGATCTCTTCAAAGTTGAGGACTTGGGAGGGGGCTTCGATCATGTCACTGGCAGAAGACGAAGAGGAGGAGGAAGCGGCGGAGGCTGTAGACATGATCCCTCGCGGAGCCCGGGGGGCCCGGGGAGGTTGCCTCCCGGACACTCCGGGGGAGGCCGCGCCCACCCGTCTCCGGACCGGCTTTCAGCCTGGAGCCACCGCGATCCCTGGAGTGGACAGGGGGAGCGGCCAGAGCCGAGTCCCCACTCCAGCTCCGCTGCGTTTTCCGCCGCCGGGCCCTGCCCACTAGACTTCCGGTTCCGGCCTGAAATCGGAAACAGGCGGGCTGCGAGCTCAAGGAAGGGGAGGGGAGAATTTTGTAACAGACAGAAAAAAGGAGGACAGTTTTGACGGTGGGGTGGGGGAGGGTAAGAGGCTAGCGTGGATCTGTAGAACAAATTTCGCGAGATCTTTGTTAAAGGACCGCAGCAATAAGATGATACCGCGAGACCTGACGCTCTGACGTAATTAAAATGCGCAAACGGAAGTAGCGCGGAGCATGACGGAATTTCAGAGCGGTTGGTTCTTTAGGAACTAGCGGGAAAAATAAAAGCTATGGCTTCAACTGCGCTTCGTGAACAATGTTAGGGACCCAATCCCTTTTCTCTCAGAGACCTGCAGACGGCCGGAGTAGTGTTGGACTGAGTTTTTGTGATGAAGCTTACTTTTTAGTTTCACCCCTAAGCTAAGCTGAACTGTTTCTTTAAGAAGCCTTGGAAAATATGTTTCCTTCAATGTGGTATATGGAAAGCTGTTGTTACTGTTACTTTGAGCCAGTCTCTGACTCTGTAAGAGTTTCTAAAGAAAATAATACGGAGCGAACCTGAATAATAATATATAGGCCGAGTTCTCAGGAACATCAGTTAATATTAGGTAAGGCAGATCCTTGTAATTTGACATAATTCGTTGTGTTCATCTGAAGTTAGGTATAATAGTACATATAGAATGATTAACTTCCGTAATTAAAGTCTCTCTCTTTTTTTTTTTTTAAGTAAGATTTCATTGAGCCAAAATAGCCAAAAAGAAGGCTGGTCTTGGGGCATGAAGTCTAAACCACCAGAAGCATGGCTAGGTAGGAAAGACAGTACGTCCATCGTCCCAGCATTTTGCGAGCGTTTTTTATACATCAAGTAGGAGGGAAGAAAGAGGTCATCCTAAAGAATTTACATTAGCTATAGGCCAAGGGGTGGGATAAGGTGAAGCGGAGCCAGCTCTGAGATAGGTCCACATAAAGAAATGTTTGCTCCTGTGGATTGGTGGTGGACAGCAGTAAGGAAGTCCACGTGTAAACAAGCGGAGGGTCCTGGAGTTAGATGGTGCCTGGGTAAAATAATCTGTAAATAGCCACTTGGAAATTAATCTGAAGTTCCAACAGGCAATAAGAGGAATTTGAGCAGTCTTGTTAGCTTGCTAGCAGCCATTAATGAAGAGTTGTTTCTCTTACTCTCTGGTCGCTTTAATTTAGACCATCTCAGAATTTTCTCCTTGTCAAAAATAATTATGATCCTCACAAGCTAGTAGAACCTAGGTCAATGTATTTCCACGGAAGTTTGTAGTACGCGTGTTGTGCTATCAACATAATTTTTAGTTACAAAATAGCTGCTAAACTTTATTTGGTCAGTTTGACCTGATGCCTAACTAGGAAAATTGGAGTTAGAGATGAAAGTTTAAGGACCAAGGATGAAACCCTGAGAATGTCAAATTTTAAGTCTCAGTACCAGACCAAAAAGGAACAGAGAGGTAGATAGTGAGGGAAATGGTGATCTGAATATCACTGGAGGAGAGCTTTCCAATTAAGGAGTAGGCATCCAAATAAATGCTGTACAGAAGTTAAGTTAAACACATTCGGGACTGTGAACAGGTTATCGAATATGGCAATCAAATTAGGAACTCCCAGAAAACATTATGTCATTTCTAATTTGTAGTTTGCACTTGATGGATGGATAAACGAATTAAAAAAAATTTTTCCTATTACCCTTTGGATGATTTTACCCAGGATCATGACTACCTATACCACTTTTATGATGATGACTTCCAATCTCTTCCCAGTGCTCAAATTTTCCCTAAATTCTGGACCTATTGGGCATTTCTATTTAGATATAACATAAACACACCTACATTTCAAAATTCCAAAAGCAAATTTGAAAGTTATCACTCCCCACTAATTTGTTCAGTGTGCGTTTTTTATTTCCATGAAGGATCCTATCATCTACTTAGTTGTCCAAGTGATAAATCAGGGCTTTATTTCCACATGTAAAATGATGCTTAATAACCAAATTGAAGCAGATTAAGTCAATGGGATAGCCATTTTACCTGTCGTTTCTCTACTCGAATATCAAACTAGAACGATCACCACTTAACTTTGTGCTCTCACTCTACCAATTGTATCTGATTTCTCTTTAACACCTTGATCTTAATACAGTGGATGCTACCAAGTGGGAAATCAAGAAATATTCGTTATATGTTCTGGATGAATGAATAGTGTTTACCAGTCCTCCCTTTCCCTGGAATGTAAGATCTGTTTTTTTATATCTTCATTTTAGGACTAGAATTCTGCTGACGAGGGACTAATCACTAGAATAACCATAGTGCTTGATTTTTTTCTCCCCAAGACTTTGTTATAAAGAATTTCAAACAGAAAAGTTGAAAGAATTTCACAGTGAAAACATATATTTACCATCAAGATTCTACCATTAACGTTTTACTATGCTTGCTTTATCATACATCTGTCCATCAGTCCATCTAACCATATGTACACATACCTATTTTTGTTTGATGCCTTTCAAAGTGAATTTCCTACATGATTTTGAATATCTACCCCAATACTTCTCCTTCTGTATTTTATCCACTGATTTGGGCTCCTGACATTGATACTAGTTGAAAATCAATTCATGTCATTTGCTTGCAGACCACTTTTTTTTTGCGGAGGGGTTGGAGGGGGCGGAGGGAAGGGTGGTCTGCTTAACACCTTTTCACTAAGTTCTGATAATAAAATCCTTGCAGTGTTCATGTCTCCATCCAAGGTCCAGACTACCTCTCCCATTTTGTGACTTGATTATATGAGCTGGTAAATTCCCATTTTTCATTTATGATTGAAGTTGTATTTTTGTCACTTGTAATCGAAGAATCCTAAGTACAGCTGACCCTGAACATCATGGGTTTGAAATCTGTGGGTCCACTTTATACATTGATCTATGCCATATTATAAAGGGATCTTGAGCATCAACAGATTTTGGTGTTTGTGAGGGATACTGGATATCAATGGCAATTAAGATTTTGGGGAGTCAAACGTTATGTGTGGATTTTCAATTGCGTAGTGAGTCAGTACCACTAGCCCCCGTGTTGTTCAAGGGTCAACTGTAATACGGAGGAAAGAGGGTGGGGAGCCGAACTCCCCTTAGTTCACCTCAATTTTGACTTTGCGTCCCCTTTAGCTCTTATGAGTTAAAGATGGAAGCTTGGACCTCACAATTTCATGTCAACTTCAGTCTCCAATCTGTCATGTTTCCGCAAATTTCCAGAGATGTGTATCAAACTATTTAAGTATTCTCCTTGAAGTCCCTCCCAGTTTGAGTACTCTCTCCACCCACCCTCATGTCAGTTACCTAATAACTCCTCTCTAACCTTCAACATTGTCTTCATTTTTAACCCTTTTGCACTATCCAGAAGATGAGGGCCAAAAAGAGTTTCAATATTTATTTCCCACCGTCTCTTTGCATGTTCTAAATGGGATTCTCATTTTACTTGGCTCATTTTGGATATGAGGGTATCTGGCATCTATTTTCCAGGAGGCTTAGAAGAAATAGACTAAAATGGTTCTACTTCAGTAGTGTTCTATTGCATTCGCAGATACATAATACATCAAATAGAGTTCCATAGTTTATCAGTTAGCATGACTTTTGTTACAAGTAACAGGTAATTCAACACAAAATGGCTTAAACAATAAAGGGGATTTATTGGTTTAGTTAAGTGGAAAGCCAAGAGCTAGAACAGTCTTCAGGTGTTAGCATCAATTAATGATAGCATCAATAATGAGTTTTCATTATTGCCTTTTGCCTTTTGCCATTACTCTAGAACAGTGTTTCTCATTTTTTTATTATTGCCCCCTGAAAGAGTTTTATATGACTATTTCTTAAAATGAAATCCTACCATTTGCAATGACATGGATGGACCTAGAGGTTATTATGCTGAATGAAATAAGAGAAAGATAAATACCATATAATTTCACTTATCTGTGGAACCTAAGGAACAAAAAGAACAAACTAATCAACAACAGACTCACAAATACAGAGGACAACCTGGTGACTGTCAGAGAGGAAAGGAGTTGGGGAGCTGGGAAAAAGGGATGAAGGGTTAAAGAAGTACAAATTAATAGAGAGATGGTCACAGGGATGGGGAGTACAGCATAGGGAATGTAGTCAGCAGTAATGTCATGGCTATGTGTAGAGCCAGAAGGAAGATAGAGTAATCAGGGGCATCATTTCATAAACCATATAAATGTCTAATCAATGTACTGTACACATGAAAATATGATCGAATAAATTTGAAAAAAAGACTATTTCTTTGTGCCCCCAAAGTTTTAATACACAGTACCACAGTTTATGTACTGTGCACATATTTCTGATTTACACATAAAAAGTAAGATTTTTTTTCCTCTCTCCAATTTTTATCCCTTTGGAGGTGATATCACCCCCACTTAGAATGAAGTTTCATTTTTCATATGATGTTTTCATATGTCATTGACTTTCCAGTACAATGACAGAGAGCATCTCTTGGTTGTTAGCCATCTCAGAAGATCAGGGATCTTTCTTTTTCAAAAGACATTGGAAACTGTACCTTGGATGAAGAATGGAGGACAGGAGGTTTGAGGTTGCAAATATCTTATTTAGCTTTGATGCAGAACTCACTGAAGCATTAGCTTGGAGAAGGAACAGCTGCTAACCAGAAGAAAAATGAAAATTTAGGAGGAGTAAAGCAGGGAATGTTTGCTGGGTATGCAACCAACAAATGTTCATAAGTCTATTCAGGTTAAGCTCTATACCTAGAAAGTGCTATCTTTACTCCCTGTCCCC